CCTATCCCCGCAGGTGAGGCAGGTGCCCCTGGCTCCTGGGTGCCCTTGAACCCCATGGGCCCTGCCTCCCCCTGAAAACCTCCAGGTGTGAGGGTCCCGTGGAGGGACCCCCCAGAAGACACCTACTCTGTCCTTGGTGATTTTAGCGCTGGACCTGAGGTCACTCTCCCCCATGCCACTTCTGCCATGGCTCCTGGTGACTCCGGTCTCCATGGTGATGGTCCTTTCAGACACTGGTGTCTCAGTTCTTCGGCTTCCTCACCGTAGTGAGCTGTCCCTCACCCCCTGTGACAGCCCACTCGCCCAGGCGTACCCCGGTTCTTGTTATGACCATGACACACACACCCCAGTTCAGGCTCCCATGCTCTTCTCCCCCCTTGGGTTTTAACTCAGGCCTCTGCACCCCAAGTTTGGTGATTCCATTTCCTCAGGACCCGCGCCCCGCTGATTCAAGCCCCATTTCCGCCGTCTCCACTCTGCTCCTTACCAGGTTCCAAGTCCACGATCAAGTGCTATACTCACTCCCTCGCCGACATTCTGGCCTCCTTCGCTCACTTCCCCTCTTTGTTAGGACAACCCGGATCCTTGCCAGTCCGTGTCAACACTGACCACCCTCTGGCCGGTCTTCTTAGCCGGGCCCCAGGCAGCGCTGGGAGCTGCCATTGTTTCTGCCAGCTGCTCCGGGGCCCCACTGAGCGCTCCTGGGCCGAGGATCTGGTTCAGAGGGACGGCAGGATGTTTTCAAGTTCGTGGGGGAGACAATAAGGAGCAAGAGCAGGGAGATGAAAGGACACCGGGCTCGGAGGAAGGCTGCCCAGGGCTGATAACCCGAGTCGGCTGTTCCCGAGGGCTGGACTGAGGCCCACGGAGTGTGGACTTGGGCCACTACTATTTATTTAGAGGTCACGATCTCTCTCTCTCAAAGAAGAAGTTCCCACATGAAGCCCAGGCCTGAAGTAGTGAGACCTGACTTTGGGCTTCAGCCGACACTAAACCAGCTGCCTGCAGCCTTGAAAAGGCATTTCCATCTCTGACCTTGGTTTCTTTGCCTGTTTGCTGAGACTGGTGTGGCCAGGTGACGGTGGCCAGGCTGCGAGGACTAACAGGGACCAAGCCTGCATGGCTTCATCAAGCTCGGCACTGTGGATCCCGAGCCCCCAGAACCGGGAGCACATGGGCACAGACCACCGGCTGAGATTCGCCGGGGCTGATTTTTCTGGAAAGTTGCTCCATTCATGTCTGATCAGGTTCTTTGGAGCCTCTTCCTGTGGGTGGGGTGGGAGGAGGCCCTGGATCTGCCTCCAGGGCCCCTGTTTGGAGGCAGCCGCGTGCGGCCTGTGCCCTTTCTGCAGCGAAAGGAAATAATTGCCGTCAGCACAGCGAGCCCATCTCCTCCCAGTGGCACCATGGGACTCTCAAAAGCGTCTCCGTCCCGACTGCCAGGTGGGGGAGGGAGGGACAGGGGCCACCACTGGAGTCCAGGTGTCTCTTTGCAGGAAATCACTTCGGCTTCAGTGATGCAGACACCACTCCCTGCCGCCCGGGCCTCCTGGATCTCTGGCTTCCAATACCTGGAGGTCGTGTGCATCCCGCTGGCTCCCAGCCAGAGAGTCCTGGGGGCTCCCCCACCTGGCAGGAGGCTGGGGGGAACGGGTGTCTGTCAAGGCCACTGGCAACGTGGGGGTTGGGGGGTGACCTTCAGTGGGAGCACACAGGCTTATCTCTCTTCATTCAGGGGAAACAATTGACAATGGGCTCAGAGCCGCCCCGCATTAAGACTCTTAACTGTGGAACTTCAGTGTCGACCTGATGAGGAATCTCTGCCTTGTGGTGGGTTTATTGGGTGTCTGCAGCCCAGGATGGCTGTGAACTCGGTCCAACACAGAATCGTGAAAGCGCTTAGAGCATTACCAGATGTTTTTGTGATTACTGTCGCAGTGCATTTAATGTGTGGCCCAGAGACGCCAAGAGGTTGAACACCGCGGGTGGAGGGAAGGCGGGGCTCTGGGACCCTGCGCCCCTCTCCTCCCCGCCCCCTGCCTGAGACTGGCTCCTCCCGCCACAGCCCTGCGTCCTTGCCGTCCTGGGGCTCCTGCTCCGTACCCTGTGATTTGACCCCCCTAGATGCGCTGGGTCTCCCCAAACCCTACACCTGTTGCTACGATTCTTAATCAGCGCTAATCAAGTCCATTTTATTTTCAAAAGGGTTGAAGTGGGTTCCAAAAACACATAAAAGATAAACACTACACAGAGCAGCCCTGCTCTCCTTCCCGTGGTCTGTTACCCACGGCCACCGATGTCCAGAAATATAAAGGGAACACGTGGGGAGGTCCGTGTGGAAGTGGCAGGTGAAATCTCGCGATTCCTACACCTGCCCAGGACGAGACTCCTCCCCCATCCGGCTCCAGCTCCGGACGCCCCGGCCTGCAGTCACCGGGTGCCTCGGGCACCAGCTGGACAGTGGCCGCATGGCGTGGCTTGGGCTGTAGTCACCGCGGCCTCATGTTCAGGGGCCCCAAAGTGCCGGATGATGGCGGCCCCGTGAGCCCAGGAGAAACCTGACGTCATCAGGCCTACGCCACTCGTCTCTCTTCATGATGTCACCAGGGCCTTGTGTCATCTTGGAATGTCCCCAGGAGACGGTGAGTGCAGCACAGTCACGTGTTACAGAGGCCCCGTCCCCTCACGTTTATCACAGTCTGTGGTTGTAGTTCTGGTTTATAACCAGGTGTCATTGATCTCTTACCACATGTCAGGGGTAAATTAAACTTTGTCACAGGTATCTGAGTTGGAAACAATGAGTATACGCAGGGTTCGGTACTTCCCGTGGCTTCAGGCATCTGTGGGGGTCTTGGCCCGAATCTCCCACGGTTCGGGGGGGGGGGCAACTACGGTACCTTCCCTCCACTGGACGGGTCAGGTGCTCCTTGGAAAAACAGCCGATTTCAAGGCTGGAGTGGAGAACGTGCTAAAATGAGCCCCCGATACCTTACACTAGGAAGTGAGGAAGTGAACCCAGAATTATAGGGATGTGCCAAAGGTCAATGAAGCCGCCCAGAAAGGGGCCCCCACTGCCAAATCTAGCACTATCTAAGCGTTGAACTAAATAATGACAACCATGGATTATCACCGTAGGGGCTTAATAAATTCCTGAATAAATTAACAGCTGGGTGCGATTGTTCGTGACTGGTGAAAAAAGTCTCTTCGTTAACATGAGTTGAGAATGAATAAAAAAATGAAAGCAGATTTTACTGTGATAACTTAAAATAAACTTGTATTTTGACTCCTTCCAAAAAAAAAAAAGAAAGAAAGAAATGGGATGTTTAGCCTCTAAGTATCTCTCGACAAAAGTACCGCATTTTGCTGTGTAAATGGGCACCTACGTTTTTGTTCACATTATACACAAGATTATTATACCCATGGTATGAAATTATTATGTCCATGTATAATGCGCATCTTTATTTTACCCTTGAAAATTTGGGCAAAATGGTGCACATTATACACGGCAAAATATGGTATTTATGAGCGGCAGCAGGAAAACGAGTAATTTCGGAGTAACGGAGAAACCTGGTAGAGACCACCTGACCCAGGAATGCACACTTACATCACCGGTCATAGGAAAATGCCAACCCTGAGCCGCCGTCCCCCACACTGGGATGCAGTCTGGGGGTCCTGACAGACGCGTGAGCTCCACCAGGGGGCGCCACCAAGCCCAACTGGAGAGACCTTCTCCAGAACCAGGGGCTTGGGACACAGAAACGCCGGTCCCGTGGGAACTGAGGGAAGACCCAGGAATTAGTGCAACTGCAGGAAACTGAATCCACATGGTGACTCCCTGCAAGGAGCAATTCTGAACTGGGTTCTTCTACTCTGATGGACCTTCCCGGGGAAACTGGAGGGGATCGGGCCGACTTCCTGCCGTGGGTGGCCATACGGCATCGTGGAGAAGGGCCCTGCCACCAGGAGGAAATGCGCAACAAGTGACGTGGTGACGGTGACAGGGCATCGTGTTGACAGTTCATTCCCGAATGGTTCGGGTTAGGGTCGTATTGTACGTTATGTTTTTTGTGAGTTGGAGATTATTTCCAGAAAAACAGAAGGGAAAACATCCGGTGGAGGGAAACGAATCCACCGCCTTCCTGCATGTGTGTGGCACAGCCGCGACACACCTGCAGGCTGTCCCAGCCACCTGTGTGTGTGACACAGCCGCAGGCCCAGCCATCTGCAGAATCAACCCCCCCATTTTCTGGAACCAGAAGGACGTTGAATGGTGCTTGTTCTCTGGGCCCCCAACATCGGGGGTGTGTGTTCCCATAACTCCTTCTCTGGCACGTCCACCAGGGCGCCTATGGATGAGCCAATGGGCTTTCAGAAGGTAGATGGAGCCTGCCTGCCCCTTTAACCAGAGCAGGAGACCCAGGACCTGGGTGCTCACAGTTGGTGACAGGTGACGGCAGATGTGTCCATTATCCTCATCTGACTTTCTGCCCGCCCCCTCTGCCCTCTGTCCCCCTGTCTTCCCTGCTTGGCGCTACAGGAGGCCAGTGCCCACAGAGGAAACAGCTGGTCTCTTGACAGCTGGCCTTTCCTTGGGGTCTGGCAGTGGGAGAGCGGGGGAGGTGGCTTAGCATCCCCCTGCCCGCCCACTCCTGCTGTTCTGGAGGGGGCATCTCTCCCCGACACCCCTCCACTCGGAACCCCCCCTCCCTGCCTCTAGCTCTCATTGGCTCTGGAAGGAGTCGCCCCCTTCCCCGACTTGTCCTGGGGAGGGGATGGCTTTCCTAACAAGGAGCAAGCTTCCCCACGAGGGAGGACCAAACCTCCGCTCTCTGTGACAGCCTTTCCACAACAGCCAGTGTGCTGCCCCCTGCGCCCCACCTCGTCACCTGGCCTCGACGAGGGAGCAGAAGCGATGTCGGGTGGCAGACGCAGACACTGGAGGAGTCTCCACCCAGTGGGAACCAAACCCGCGTCAAAAAGACAGAATCTCCACTGACCACTTAATTATTATTATTGGCAGCATTTTGAATGAAGCAAAGAGTTCCACAAATATATAAAAGATGTTTTTAAAATCACAAATGGACAGCAGATTTGAAAGATTCCTTTTCTGATCATTCGGAAAAGGTGCTGTTTCTTTAACAGTTAACAGCGTTTGGAAGAAACTGGCCACCAGCCCCAGGCCTAAGCCTGGACTCCTGGGGGCAGAAAACAGCTGACCAAGGGGGAGGGGCTGTTGGAGGGGCAGCACGACCCCCAACCAGCAAGGCAGAGCCAGGAGCTTGCCAGGCATGGGGTGGGTGCGACAGGGTTAGGGCGGGCACGGCGGTCACTCTGGTCTCAAGAGCGTGGCTGTGATGTGCTCATTTAAGTCAAGTCACCATAATTCACCAAAGGGGCAGATGAGTTTGGGTGGGAGTCACCTTGGTGCCCACAGTCGTGGCAGGCAGATCCGTGAGGGGCAGGCCCCACCTGTCAAAGCAGGGGTGAAGACAGGCCCGGCCCCAGGGGCTCAGGTAACTCTGCCTGGAGGGACAGCTCCACCAGGGGGCGCCACCAAGCCCAGTCGGCAGGCAGGGATGGACCCCACGTTGGGCAGCCACGTGGGAGGGTGCAGGGGGGCTGGCGGTGGCCCGCGCCAGCAGTGCCTGACCATGCTGAGAATCGGGGCGGGGAGGGGGATGTGGGTGAGGCTGGAAATCGAGCTGGAGGCCAGGCCACGTGGGCCCAGAGCGGGGAGTTGGCACCTAAGTTGGATAATGATAGGGACCCCTTTGTGTGCATGCTCATTCATTCATTCATTCATTCAACAAAAACGTTTTTTGCGTGCAAACTCTCCGCCAGGCACTGCCCTGGTGCTGGGCACACCGAGGTCCCCGTGGGCCTGGCCGTGGGGAGGGGCCCCTTGGCAGGTGACAGCAGCTCAGCCAGGCCCAGCCGGGACCCCGCTGCTGACTGAGAGGACAGAAGTGCCGTCAGTACCGGGAGGGAGGCTCAGGCAGTTGGGCCCAGGTAGGGGCGGGAGGCTGGGGAGGGAGCCTTGACTTGCGGCAGGCCCTGGTCGCCCTTGGCCCGTGTGGTCAGGAGTGACGGCGGCTCCCTGTGTCTCCGTGCTCGGAGTCCTCCTCCTCCTGCCGCCCTTGTGAAACTTCCCTCAGCTGCTCCTGGGGCTCCCGGTAGATGGACCGAGTCCTGCGGCCATGAGGACAGAGGGACAGTTTGCCTCGGGGAGCTGGGCCCAGCCCCGCTCCTGGCCCACCGTCCACACCCTTCCAGCTGCAGAGGGACCCTGGGGTGAAGGGTGGGGCTCAGAGGGGACAGGCAGTGGCCCAGACTTGTTCCACTTGTGAGCTGAGGGTGTCAGGGAACAGGCAGGAGGGACCCACTGGTGACGAAGGTGGCAGCCCACAAGCCCCAGTCCCCACAGGAGCCCGCCCGGAGATCCATGGGCCGAGGGCCACATCTGGGACTCCCACGTCACTTCAGGACAGGCTGACAGGACCCACAGCTGTCCCTGGGTTCGAGGAGCCCCGTGCTGCCGGGCCGCCCCCACTCACGGCCTGGCCTCGTCCTGGCTCTTTGCTCGGCAGCAGCAGCAGTAGATCAGGACGCCGATGAGGATGAGGGCCACCACCGTGCCGCCGGCGATGCCCGCGTACAGGGCCACGTTCATGGAGGCTGCGGCAGACAGAGCAGCTGCATCCCTGACCCCGCTGAGCCCCGGCTCCAGGCCCAGTAGGCCAGGGACAGATGGCCCTGCCTTCGCGTCCCTGTCCCCCCGGGTTCTCCAGGCCTTGGGAAAGTCCTCAGCCATCAGCCAGGCGGCTCCTGCTCCAGCCTGTCCCTGCGCTGGTGAGTGTCCCACCCCACAGGATGGGGTCCAGACTGTGCCAGCCGGCTCTGGGCGTGGCCCCCCTGCTGATGGGGCTGGTCTGCGGCAGCAGCCGAGCCCAGGCAAGGGGAGCCACGGGGCCAGCCGTGGCCGAAGAAGGCTGCGATCCATCCCCTTTCCACACCCCGTCCTGCCCTCCACTCTCTGCTGCTCTTACGAGGACTGGCGGTCACCGTGATGTTGCAGGACTCCGTCCCCACCTCGTTGCTGGAGGTGCAGATGTAGAAGCCGGACGTGTCTGTGGAGATGTTCTTCAGGGTCAAGGTCTGCCCCATGGCTGGGAAGGAGGACCGCCAGGTGAGGAGAGGGCGCGCAGCAGAGCGGGAGTGGCGGGACCTGCGGCGTCCTGGCCCGCCCAGCTGCGGCCCCAACTGTGGCCCCACCTGTGGCCCCACCTGCAGTGAGAAGACCCCTCTCCAGGCCGCAGGGCAGGTGGTACCACTCCAAGGGGCGTGTGGGGTGGCCGGGCACCCTGGGTTTGAAGCCCCGGCCTGCAGCTTGCGCACCGTGGGACAGTGGGCAAGCCCCTCAGCGCCGCTGAGCCCCATTTCCTCAGCTTTGACGGCGGCGATGGCAGCACCCAGCTACCAGGACACCCAACCGGGGCGTCTGATGAGCCACGAGTCACCATCGACCCGAAGCAGAAGGCCCGCCACACGGCACACGCCCAGAATGTGCGTTTCACAACTCGCGTCACACCGAAACGCCTCCTGGTGAGAAGGTGTCGTGTTCTCCCGAAACCGAACCTCGGCCGGGACTCGCCTGGAGGGAGACTCTGCAAATCACGTCTCTGACCTCCAGGGGTTTCTGCTGCGGGTAATGAATGGGTGTGTGTGTGTGTGTTTGAGAGCATGTGAGTACACGTGAGTGTGATATTGTGTGTGCGAGCACAGGTGTGTGAGTGTGCATGTGAGGGTGTTGCGTGTGTGTGGGGGTGGCAGGCAGCTGTCTGCACGCTCTGTCGTCCAACACGCACGTGAGCCGTTTAAGCTGTTGGAACCGCAGCTGCGAACCTGGGGTGGGAGCATCACCCCTGCCCCTCCTGCCGGTGGCCCTGCAACCAGCTCACCTGGGAGGGGAGCTCGGTGTCGCTGTGTCCCGGGCCCCAAGCTGCCTTGTAGTGACTGCAGTTCTGAGAGAAGGGTTGAGACCTCTGTCCTCTCAAAAAGCCTGGTGTGGTCCTGGCCGCCACCGGGTGGCCACACTCCGTCCTGTTGCCGCCCTGCCTGACTTCTCAGGGGCAGCCCAGGGTCTTCAGCAACACGCCCAGGCCTGTCCACACTTGCCCAAGGTGACAAAAGGACACGGTGGGGAAGCACTCACAAAAATCCCGTTTCAAGGTCTAGAACTTTCTGGAACAGCTGACAATTTTCTTTGAAGAAATTATTAAGCCAACGTATGTTCACTATAAAAATCTGTGCACAGCACACACAGGTTACTGGCATGCGTCCCGATCTGGAAAGTTCACGCTGACCACCCCAGCTCTAAGCAAGGTGAAGAGGGCCCCAGGCTGTGAGGGAAGACAGATGTGACACAGGGCGATGGCAGGGTGACCAGAGTCCCACAGAAAGTGCCATCCGACTCTAGTAAAGGAGTTTCCTCTCCCGAGCAGGGTCAGGGAGGGCCTCCATGAAGAACAGAGGGTTAAATTAGAGTCAGCCTCGCTCCCACCGCCCAAGTGACTGCTGGTGACCGGGCTTGTTTTCTCCAGTCGCTCCACGTGGGTGTACTTTCCCCAGACACTGCCCTGGGCACCGGTCTCCCCAAAACCCTGGCACCCCATGCCACGGCCGGCTTTCCGAAGCACTGTGGACGTGTGATATTAATACATCACACCAAAAGTGAGCCCGTGAGCAGGACTGGTTTAGAGATCGGAGCGAAGGGCTGGATAAGGTTTTACAGACAGAACTCTCAGAGCTTCTACTGTGCTAAGGAGCACCGGGCAGTTAGGGGTAATGGTCTTGTTTTCTAAACTAACGGGGTGTTTTAAAGAGGCAGCTTGAAGGAAGCCACTTTGGGAAATGCTCTCGGGCCCCGGACAAACTCTGGGGGTGAACAGCCTTTACCAGACCCCCACCATTTCAACGGCACACCGCGGGTGGAGGGGAAGGCTTGTCCAGGGTCGGAGTGGGGCTTCCCTCTCCAGGGTCAGCCGTGTCCTCCCCCCGTTCCTCACACAAACAGTAGGCATTGGAAGCTGCTCTGGGGTGAGCCGGTGCCACCGGCGCCCCGAGACCTGCTCTGATTCCGAGCTGGGGCTCCCGACCCCTTTTCTTGGAAAGGTCCTGATAGTTCTGAAATTGGGCTGAAACTGATGTTTCTGCTGCTGTGGGGACACCTTGTGGTCAAGAAGGGTGGAGCGACCAGTTCACCCTGTTTGACGGAAGTCCTCTTGGGTGCTCCTGGGCACTGGCGCCCACCCCGCCTTTGCCCTGCTCGCCTCCTGCCACCCTGAGCCAGAGGACCACCCACAACTGAACTGACAGGCACCTCTCGGGCTTTGTCCCGGGAGCTCTGGGTGTGGCTGGCTGGCTGGCAGTGGGGGCCCCAGGGCTCCAGTGAGGAGTTCCCACACCGTGGGCTCCTCGGTAATGACAGGAGGATATTTATGTAGTTTTGGGTGGTTTTTTTGGTTTCGTTTTGCCTTGTTTTTCTAGTATGTTTCCTGACCAAAGGCCAACTACCAAGCTGCCCAGGACAGAATTGGTCCCCTGGCAGCTGTAAGTGAACCTTCCATCGTGGCCCCTGAACCCCTGGGAACGTGGGGTCCCCACAGCAGCCCTGGTCTGGTGGTGCGGGACCAGAGAAGGGGGCGTGTTTGGGGAGGTGGGGTTCGGGGGAGTCTGAGATGGACCGGCCTGGGGAGCACGTGGGAACAAGAAATTGCCACCCTCGAGTGGGTACAGTTGGGGACACAATCACCGTCCAAGCTGAGACTGCAGCCAGAGTGACTGCCGATGACGCCCAGTCCAGAGAACCGCGTCCTGGGGCTGAAGGAAAGCCAGGAAGCCTGTCCTGGGCCCTTCCTTCCACTCAGTGCTTCCCATGGAATCACTGTCCTCACTCTCGGCCACCCGTGAGCTGGGCAGGTGTGGTTACGAGAAAGTGATGCTCAGGGAAATGACCCGAGACGTCGCTGTGCCAGCTGCAGGGAGGGGGAGGGGCGGGGGCAGCCTCAGGGCCTGGGGGCACCCGGCTGGGGTTACCTGGCAGGCCCACCCGCTCCTGGTTCTGAAGGTTGTAGCTCTTCCAGCTGTACTGCGGGGCCGGGGAGCCCTCCTTTGATTGGCAGGTCAGCTGGATGTCGCTCCCGATCACCGTCTCTCCCTGGATGCTGCAGTCCGGTTTGGAGGGTGGCACTGTGCGGGGAGAGGCCGAGGAGAAGGCACAAGTTAGGGGGACCTTGGTGACAGCCAGGCCTCCCCTCCCCTGTAGACACACACACCTGCCTTGTTGGTTCACAGGCAGAGAAAGTCAGAGCCTAGACGTGAGGCGTGACGTTCCAAGGTCCGTCCACCCGGAACACCAGCCCGGTGGCTAGTCCCTGGCATGGGGGCAGCATCACCATGGCCAGCATAGAGTCATTGCCTTGTAAAGAGGTGGGTATAGGGTGGGGCCCCGGGCCTGCTGGCTCCAGGCCCAGGGCTCCCCCACCAGCCACAGGCTCAGTGACTCAGCCGGGCGGTTTCAGGTCCCGTTCCCCGAGGGGACAGCAGATGGTCTGGGAAAGGCCATATTGCACCCGCAGTCACTGCTTCTTTTAAAGGAGGAGCCTTTAGCAACGGAGAAGCCACCTTAGCTCACAGATCACACAGGGCAGGCTGCCCGCCCCTGGGGCCGAGCAGCCCCCTCTCTCCAGCCCTTCACCGTGCTCGCCTGGGGTTAGCGCTGCCCTCTTTTCATGCTTCGCTGGTAAAATGCCATTGTCCCGAGGGGTGGGGGACAGGAGGGACCCCGGGGGCAGCAGAGGTGCCGGGTGGGAGTGAGGGCCGAAGGGCTGGGGGGACAGAGGGACAGAGATAGGGACCGGGAAGCCCACAGCGAGGAGGGCACAAAAGCCAGCGGGTCCTCACAGTGCGTGCCTGACCTGGCCTCCCGGAATTCCCGCAGACCCCCAGCGGGGCCCCCGTCCAGCACAGCTGTGTGGTGTGGTTCATTCCACAAACCAGACAGGGACCCCTCCTGTGCACGTGGCATTGCTGGGGACCGGGTGGCACCGTGAGGGCATCCCTGGGTTCAGGGAGTCCTGTGGAGGCACCGCATGGGTGACTGGACAATGGCAGGCGGGCAGCAAGGCTTGGGGGCAGGGACGGCACAGCTGAGGGACACAGACGTGGTCCCAGCACAGGCCGTGACCCGAAGGAAGAGACAGCAGCGGAGGTTGGGGACAGGTGCGTCCCTCTGCAGAGGGGCAGGTGTGCCCAGGCTCTGGGAAGCATCAGTTGTGCCTGAGACTTCTGGGAGTGTGCGTCTGGGTGAGCAGGAGGTCACAGAGGGGACAGGGCTGTGCCGGAGCCGTCAGTGGCAGGCCAGCCCCTGCACCTCTTTCTTTCATGCCCTGCAGGGTGAGGCCCATTCCCCAGTCAGACTGCGGTGCAGTTCTGGGGACGCTGTTAGAGCAGCCCTTACACCTGCTACAGGGGCCCCCGGAGATCGTGGATCTCCGTTGGGACAGGAGGTAGATGCCACCTGAGTACTTATTGCAGGCAGAATGATGAGCAAATGAACGTGATAGGTTCCAGGCCTTGCAAAGCCTGCAACTCCTGCTGTGGACACAAGGGGGCGCCAGAGGCCGTGAGGCGGCCGAGCCCGCAGGTGCCACATGTGTCCCAGGGCCAGGTGGTTTCCCTGAGTGACTTAGGACTCTGTGCGCTTCAGTCCTGAGGTCACCCAGCCAGAGTGGGCGGCCACACATAACGAAAGCCCTTCTGCCTGAAAAGCAAGACAGCCATTTGGAAAGAAAACTTTTTTAAAAGAGAATTTGCTGGATTTCTTTTTTTTTTCTTTTTTTAAATTTATTTTTTTAAATTGATTATGCTGTTACAGTTGTTCTATTCCCCCCTTCATTCCCCTCCACCCTGCCCCCCATCCCCACCATTACCCCCCTTTAGTTTATGTCCATGTGTCTCAAGTCCTTTAGATTCTATATTTCCCATGCTATTCTTGCCCCCCCCATCTATTTTCTATCTACTGTCTATGCTACTTATTTTCTGTACCTTCTCCCCCCTTCTCCTCCTCCCACTCCCCTGTTGCTAACCCTCCTTGAGATCTTCATTTCTATGTTTCCACTACTGATTTAGCTGTTCTTTTAGTTTGCTTTCGTTTTAGGTGTGGTTGTTAATAACTGTGAGCTTGTTGTTCTTTCACTGTTCATGTTTCTTTAACTTCTTTTTCTTAGATAAGTCCCTTTAACATTTCCTATAATAAGGGCTTGGTGATGATGAACTCCTTGAATTTGATCTTATCTGAGAAGCACCTTATCTGTCCTTCCATTCTAAATGAAAGTTTTGCTGGATAGAGCAATCTTGGTTGTAGGTCTTTAGATTTCATGACTTGGAATACCTCTTTCCAGCCCCTTCTTGCCTGTAAGGTCTCTTTTGAGAAATCTGCTGACAGTCTGATGGGGACTCCTTTGTAGGTGATTGTCCCCTTAGCTCTTGCTGCTTCTAGGCTTCTCTCCTTCATTTTAATTTTGGCTAATGTAATTATGATGTGCCTTGGTGTGTTTCTTCTTGAGTCCAACTTTTTTGTACTCTCTGAGCTTCTTGGATTTCCTGGAAGTCTATTTCCTTTGCCAGATTGGGGAAATTTTCTTTTATTATTTGTTCAAATAAGTTTTCCACTGGTGGCTGTGCCTTTCCCCCTTCTGGTACCCCTATAATTCGGATATTGGAGCGTTTAAAGATGTCCTGGAGGTTCCTAAGACTCTCCTCATTTCTTTGAATTCTTGCTCCTTGACTCTTTTCTGTTTGGCCATTATTTGCTTTCTTCTGGTCCACTCCATTGATTTGAGTCCCAGTTTCCTTTTCATCGCTATTGGTTTTCTGTGGAATTCCATTCATTTCCATTAGTTTAGCCTTCATATGTTTCTCTAATTTGTGGCTATAATCAACCAGATCTGTGAGGATCCTGATGACCAGTGTTTTAAACTGTGCGTCTGAGAGTTTTGCTATTTCTTCGTCGCTTAGATTTATCTCTGGGGCTTTGAGGTCTTCCTGCGACATTTTTGGTCTGTTCTGGCCCTTTAAGTGAGAGAAGCGGCGTCTCGGACTCCCAGGTCGCTGGGTTGTGACGCTGTATGTGGAGGCGTGGTCAGAGCGGGGAAATGGCGGCGGTGCCCACTACCGCCTCCGCCGGTCCAACCGCCCACTCCCTCGCCTGTCCGCTCGCCCGCAGATAGGCAACCGCAGTCAACACGCAGCACCGCCTCCCCACTGTCTCCTCAGCAGTCGCTCACCCGGTGGGTTGCTCGGTCGCCCACTAGGTCCAATCCTGGGTTTGGAACCCGTGCGTCTGGATTCGCACGTCTGGATTCCGTGCCTGGGTCTGTCCCACCGGAGTCCTCCTGTGCAACCCCTCACGAGACGCTGGTTTAGCCCCTTACCGGTCGGGCTGGAGAATTTGTTGTTAACGGACTTCCGAAAAGTTCAATTTTCCGTGTTCTGGTTGTGTTTTCTGATGCTAATATTTAGTTGTCCCTAAACTTGGTTGTGTGAGAAGGCACGGCACATCCACCTATACCTCCATCTTGGCGGAAGTCTCCTGGATTTCTTAATGCATAGTATGAAATGATCTCTCTTGCTCTTTCTTTTTTTTTTTTTTAGAGCAAAACATGGGTTGCACCGAGTTCTGTAACCTCAGATGCAGCACATCCCCTCGCCCTGCCCAGGCTATGGGAGAACGGGGTCGGTGCATGCAGAAGAGAAACTGGGTGGAAACGCTCATTCTCCTGGCAAGGTAATCCCTCCCCAAAGAGCTAATGCAGAAAGGAAGTGTGCACACCCAGCGAGGCGTGGCCACGCCATCGGGGCAGCTGTATAGTGGGAAGCAGTCTGGGCGTGTCGCGTGTGCTGGGCGCTCACATCAAGCGTTGAGACAGCGGGAGGAGTGAGGTGACGTGGATGCGAAAGAACAGGACCGACGCGCTAGCTGTAAACTCAGGGAGGGCTGGGAGGAAGCATACGCCCTAGCAATACAGGTGAAAGTTGTTCGGTTTCTTATGTGTAAAAAAGTAGTATTTGTTAAAGAGACAAGTGTCCCCAGCACGGGCACTTGAGCATTTGCGTCTGGAGGAAGGGCGCCACCGTGGGCGAACTGAGAGCAGAGCAGAAATACACTCCAGTGGGCGGCCTTCCCTGCATTGGAGAAGCAGCCCCCATTCCGTGGATCTGGGGGGCAGTGGGGGGGGAGCACAGCGGGGCCCTGCACGCAGGGTCTGGGGCCCCTAGAACATAGCTGTGGTGGGCATGCTGGACAGAAATAAAGCGTGATGGTGACGTTTCCGAGATGCTTGCGAAGACGCGGAAGCCGCCCTCCACGCATGCGCAGGGCGGGGCTTATTCATTACAGAACAGAAGTGATCATAGAGTGATGTGTCCACCATGCGGTGTTCCGTGGACACAGGAGGGCCAGGGGACATGTCCAGGTGGGCACTGCTCTGTCCCCTGCCCCGCACTGCCCCACCCGCCACCCCTGCGGACCTCAGAATACAAGTTAACGCCCTGGGAGAGCAAACACAACAGGCAAGCTGACGCCTGCTGCGGGGTCGAGAGAGGGTGCGTGAAGGCCCAGTGAGTCTAGACAGATGGGGGTTCAGTGACAGGAGAGAGAGAGTGCGGGTGGCCTCTGCCTTTCCCTTTTTACCGGTTCCCTGAGTCATGAGCCAGAAATGGACCTGGGGTGGGGAAGGTGGGCTCAGGAGAGTGAGGAAACCAAGCCACACCCTCATTTCTCCACTGGTGGCCCCGGCTTTAGGGGGGCCTCTTCCTCTGCCCCAGGGGCAGCTCCTGGGTAACTCAGAGCACCCTCCAGTCCACAGCAGAGGCACCACGCCCCTGCCCTGAGGTGGACGGACGGACAGGTGACCGAGAGTCTGAGCTCCTGGTCAGACACTGCTGCCTCTGGCTCTGGCTCTCCCAGGCCACCTGTCCTCCCCGCGCCCGCTCCCCGCCACCCCTGCTGGACCCCGAGGCCACTCACCGAGGACCAGGAGGCGGACGCGTCCCTTGGAGGTGCCTTCCAGGTCTTGCAGCAGCGACACCGAGCACTCGTAGGTGCCGTTGTCGTCCATGGTGAGTTGGTCAATGGTGATGGAGGCGTCAGACTGCTGGGCGTTGTCCGAGAAGGTGACTCGGTGTTGGTAACGGTCACCGTGGCTGAGGCCTTGGGCTGGAATTGTCAGCACGGCCACCTTTTCCTGGGAGGAAGAAGAAATGCCACTTGGTCTTCACCCTCAGGCCCTGGCGCGGTGCCTCCTCCAGTCCGTGGCACCGAGGGCTCTTGGCCACCGTGCCCAGCCCGGAAGCACTGCCACTGGCCCCAAAGCAAACAGCTCTCCCCCCAGGGGGCACCGTCTTGTAATATCTGCCTTCATTTGATGGCCGTACTGGAACATGGGATCAAGCAGGCCCACCACAGCGAGGGCAGGTGTAGGTGATCAGTTTCCTTGGACCCCAGCACGGCCACCTCTGTGGCCTCCCGCATCTCGCTACTCCTCCCATTGCAGCCCATTGTCTGTTCTCACTCACTCAGGCTGCGGTGTTTATTGAGCACCTACTATGCGCCAGACTTGGAGCTAAGCAGCCACCCTCAGCTTCCACGTCCCTGGGTTTCCTTGAGTCTTGCCCTTGGAGTTTATTTATCCGTCGACACACTCATCACTCCGGTCAGCTCTGCCTCCATGCAAAGCCCAGCTCTGCCACCTGCCACCTGTGCCCCTTCCCGGGACGCCCTCACTTTCTGAGGCCCCTTACCGTGTGACTCCACAGAAGTTTGTCCCATTCGATCAGTCCTTGCGGGGAAGAGGCTGAAGTGTGGTAGGTACAGGGCAGGGTGGCACTCTTTCCCCGGGCGACCCGAAGAACTTCCTGCGGGGTTTCCACAGAGATGGCCGCCGCCATCACCCAGACTGTAAGGGAAGTGGGAAGTGGGAGGGAGAAGTGAGGGATGAAGGCACACACCTCTGCGGGAATGCCGGGTGACACCTGTCCTCAGCTGTAGCTGACCCACTCCACCTGCAGCCCCAGGCTCACCTCCCACCGCAGCTGTGCCCCCACAGGGCTGGGGGAGAACCGGCATAGGACCAGCTCCCCCCCCCCCCCCAACGACCTCCCCTACTGCCTGCAGCACCACCCTGTCCCGGCTTCAGCACCAGCCCACCCTGTCCCACCCACCCTCCCTGCTCCTACTCTCCCCATGCAGAGCGGGCCCTTCGATACTTTCCTTCCCGTATCCCTGCGCCTCCGGCACTAACACACAGTGTCTCCAGGCCATTTGAGGAAGTGGCATCGCGTGGCGTTTAAACAAGTTTAAATAGGGTTTCCTTCTTTACTAAACGCAGGACCCCTCCCCCTCCCCCCACAGGCCCTCTTGTGCCCGCGTTCTGGCCCAAGCAGTGGGCTGCGTGAAGCGTGAGTGGCACGGGACATGCACTCGGCGCAGCGCGTTTGCTGGCCCGTCATCATTGCCCGGTGCCTTAGTTACACTGTGTGTGAGCTTGCGTCCTCGGGACCCGCCCCCCTTGGCTAGAGGCGAATCGGAAGCAGCGACCCACCAGCCCCCCCAGAAGACTCTCAGGAAGGGATAGTGATTGCCAAGGGTTGTAAGTAAAGAACAGGTCAGTTTTGGAGCTCCCTAGGACAGCGCCCTGAAACTGTTCCATGTTTGTGGATTTGCGAGGGAAGAGGTGGAGGGGGGTGGCTGAGAAAGAACTCAGGAAAAAAAGGACCCTCCCCCATGTGCAATGCTCCCGATGCGCTATTTGTAAGCTCGAGAAGGCGGATCCGGCACCTGGAGGCGCCCCGACATGTTCATGGTCCTGGATGAGAGTCTATTCTTTGTGCAAGACCTGCAGGCCGACAGCCAGCCCTGGGGGTCCTCCGTGGCCAGTGCAAAGCCCCACACACACTGACACACTCGGTATCCCCTCATTCCCACTCGACTGGCATCACAGGCCAGGAGGCCTCCCCGATCCGTCGGGAGTAAGTCCGGGCCCTCCCACCTTTTCCATGGGCTCCATGTTCCCAGCTCTTCGGCCCTGGTTTGCTCTTCTGTGGGACCTTCGCTTCCCTACCCAGAGGGTGCGACAGGAGCCCCAGGTAGGACATCTAAACCCTGATGACACTGCTAAGAAGTGGAGGAATTCTAGAAACTTCTAGAGCCTTCCAGCCACCTCCCATTCCATTTCCTTGCACACAGGTCGATGTTGGGCATCTGTCCTGCTGCCCAGAACCAGCCCCCACCTCCCGCCTCCTGTAGCTGCAGCTCTCGCGTCCCTTCGCCTTCCTGGAGCTGTGTCCTTCGCGCGCCAGAATGCTCCCCTCCCCCGGTGCTCCTTCTGGAGGCTGAGCTCCTGGGTGATGTGCTGGTCTTGTTGGGAGGGGGAGGGGGCAGGACAGGAGTTGGAAGAGCCGCTGCCTCCACCTGTATGGAGGACTCAGAACACCCCCTCCCGCAACGCACGCCGCTGTCGTTTGTGGAGGAAGATGTTTTGGGCGCAAATGTCTGAGAGAAAATGTCCGAACCCCCCCGGCAGAGCTGATGGCTCTGTCCTTTGTGCCACCCATGGCCCGTGAGTCCCTGCACCCTGAACTTCTCGTAAAGGTGATGGGGGGCCAGGGGCACCAGCGCTGGATGCGGGCTCCGTGGCCCCATTTTCCTCACTCCAGAGCAAGGGTCCTCGTCTCTAACTCAGGGTGTCAGGAGGGTCGCTGACTTAATGCAGGTGGCATCCGCGCCCGTCCCGGCCCGGAGGCTGCACAGACCTTCTGCGTTACCCTGCCCTTATCCTCGGCTGCGAGCCGATTCCTCATCTTGCCTCCCCAGGGCCCTAGTGAGTGCCCCCCCCACGGGACAGCTCTACCGAGTGCTTTTCCACAGCAAACACACGAGTCCCAGAGAATTCAGGCTTAAAACCTGGGTCGGATGAGCCACCAGACACTTGGTTGAAGACCCCACCCACGGATTGCTAGAAAAATGCCAAAAAAAAAATCAAATAATGGAGACCCCAGGAGCCCCAGCAAGGGGAAGCCCCGGTGATCACTGGTGAATGACTGAGGTTCGTTAACGAGATGCTGAACTGTCCCCCGAGAGCCAACCAGAAAGTAATACACCCTCGGAGGATAATGAAATGCTTGATGGCCTGGCTGCTGGAGGCTCGCTCCGTGCTTTATGGGAGCCCCGGGGAGCCGGGCGGTAATGGCTGCACTTAGGAAGCCCATCTGCTGGTAGGAGCCACAGTCTCCGTGAGGGTGGAGACCGGTGCCGCCAGCCAGAAAGGGGGGAGTCTGGTGGGGGGGCACTTCATACTCGCAGGCGGGTTTATCCTGACCCCCACCCTTGCATGTGGCCTCTCTAGGGGCTCTGCCTGGCCCCCAAGGAAGGAGGGGCGAGAAATCAGTAAGTATTTGTTGAGCTTTCTGTTCAACAGGAATCTTAGGAACATACCAAAGCCAATCAATTTGATGACTTTTCCCTACGGCCCTAGTTTAGGACAAAGCACAGGAGAGCAGTCCCTGGCCTGTTCATGCCCCGCCTCCTCCGGAAACCCACCGGCAGCAGCCCGGCCCTCACTGTGCCGGCTTTTACTGTGTTTAGTTATTTCATTTAGGTGGAGGTGGCGTGTGATATTACATTAGTTTCAGGCGGACAATGGAGCGATTGGAAACTTATGTACCTGACGGTGTGTGATCGCTACCCCAAGCCCAGTCACCATCTGTCACCGTGCACAGTTGTCACAGTATTGTTGACCATAAACCCCTTCACCTTCTTCGCCCACCCGCCCACCCTCGCCCCTCTGACCACCATCAGTCAGTTTGATCTCTGATCTGTGAAACTGTTTTTGATTGGTTTGTTTGTTTGTTTGTTTGGGACGGGTGTGTTTTGAGATTCTGCTTGTAAGTGAAATCCTGCAGTATTTATCTTTCTCCCGATGACTCATTTCATTGAGCATAATGCTCTCGAGGTCCAACTCCGTCAAATGGCAAGAGTTTACTCTTTTTCATGGCTGAGTAATATTCCATTGCGCTTGTGTACTCGCCTTCCTTAACCATTCGTCGGTCGATGGAAACCCACGTGGCCTCCACAGCTCGGCTGCTGTGAAAACGCTGCTTGCGTGCAGGGGTGCAGGTGCCTTTTCGAGCTGGTCTTTTTGTTTCCTGCCAGCTCCTTGGAGCCACCTGAGGCAGTGTCTTCCCCAAGTACACAGTTCCCATGTGGATGAGGGTGGGCCGGTGGGTGCAGGCTCCTCCCCTCACCAGATGGAGCTCCTTCCCACCCCGAGAGCTGGGTGGTAACTGGACCCTGTGGACTGAGTGGTTCGGGCACAGTCCCCACCCGGAGGCCCTCAGAGGTGGCCGTCCACCAGCAGCCACCCGGAGCCTCATTGCGCGTTAAACCCAGTGTCCAGGAGTGAAGTGTGTGGGGAGGGGGAGGGGCTTTGTGGGGCCAGGACAGCAAGGGACAGGCTTCCCGAGGGGGTGGGACTTGAAATGGTCCCCGAGTGATTCAGTTCACAGCATTGACCATGGGGACGTGAGGGGCCGGATCAGGATGAGAGACTGCACACAGCCCCACCCGCCTCCATGTCGTCACGGAGAGAAAGCAGATTCCAGAAGAAAACAGACCAGATGCAGGATGAGTAACAGTGCTCCCTGGGTTCTGGGATCTGGAGGCAGTGTGGCGTTTCTTCCTGGTGCGGTCGTGGTTTCCGAATGCCCCCAATATGCATGCGGGGCTCCTGGGGCCCCAGCACCGGCTCTGGTTTGTGAGGCAGGCAGGTGGCACGGCAGCCTGCTCTGCAAGGCACGGGCCTTTCACGGGGAGATGGGGCAGCTGGATCGGGGGCACCCAGGTGTCTTGAGGAGGTCCCCCGGGCCCCCATGGGGACAGAAGGTGGGGAGGCATGAGTGGGCTTGCAGGATAGGGGGCTGGAGCTGCGGAACGAAGAGACGGAAAGTGGAGGAGGAGGCAGATGGAGAAGCCCCCAACCCGGGGTGGGGCGGGGCGGGGCGGGGCGTTGCTGGAAGACTCTGAGCCCCTGTGTGCAGACAGGTGCAGGCAGCGAGCTCAGATGGGCGCCCCGCCTTCCACCCTTCATGCCCGACTGCCATGAACTTTGTGACGGTCTTCGGTGGGGTCGCCGGGCTGTGCCAGGTGTTTATGGCATCGCTGACTCACCAGGGCGGAAAACAAGGAAACCAGCCCAAAGGGCACTGGGTGGCCGCGGGCAGGGAGGCGCCTCAGGAAGGAAGCTGGTTCCGAGGCTGACGGCTGGTGCCCTGGGCAGGGGAGCCGAGGACAGCTTCAAGCTCAGCAGGCAGAGAAGGGACAAAGCCTGAGCACTGCCAGGGTCGGGGGCCACCGGCCTGCCTTGACCTCCAAACCCAGCCACCCCTCTGTGGGCCATGTCCACACGAGACTGCAGTTCACTCCGGTGAGGGAGGCAATACCTGGGGGCTGCAAGGACATGCTCACCCTTTACCCTGAGGGACAAATCCATTTCCTAACTGTCCATCTTATCTGTCAACCCCAGGAAGGGACTCAGGATGGGACGTTTTGGTGGAAGCCAGTGAGGTTAAAGAATGGAGGCTCGGAGAGACACGGGGGCAGCGTGGGGACGGGGAAGGGGAGCAGCCTGGGGAGGCTGAAGGGCAGGGACGCCTCCCTGGCAGCCGCCCAGCAGGTGGCCTGCGGTCCAGGCCCGGTGCTAGAGGCGGGGACGCAGCCGGAGGGGACGCTGCCGCAGGGGTGGGCACAGTTCTGTGCTCACGGGGTTCAGTCCTCTGGGCGAGGCGACTGGTGCTAAATAAGTAACCACTGGAAACTGCACCTAAAACCTTAGCAAGTGTGACCCGTGGGATGATGGGACAGAGCAGGGGATGGGGGTGGGGCGGCTGTCCTGAGGAAGGGTCTGCGGAGCTAAGGGGGGGAGGAGACATAGGAGGGGGTGAGTTGGGGGAGGAGAGGGCGGGGTGTGTTCCAGAAACCAGCACAGCTACGGGGGTTTTGGGGGTGTGTGATCCCCCCATATGATGTCCCAGAGCCTCCGAGTGTGGCTCCCAGTATATGAATGGGCCAAGGACAAGCAGCACACTGTGCCCTCAGGGTGGCTTCGGACAAATCCCACCACTCGCCTCTCCTGGAGAGTCCCCTACAGAGTGACTTGGGAGTCGCACCTCTGCCAGCATGGCCAGACGGGGCCCCTGGCTCTGCCCTCACCCCACTGCCTGCCTCTGGTCCCAGGATCCACTCCCCAGGGCACTGGGACGCCTTAGGTCGGAGGGTCACGCGCCCACCTCCCGTAACACCAGGGGCAGTGTGACTCCGAGCTGCCGGCCACCTGCCCAGGACCGGCCTCAAGTTCCCACCTGGGACAGGAAACCAGCTGCACGTCAGAGTTGCCTGGGTCTCTTTTTCACACTCAGAGAGCCTGCTCTCCATCTCTGAGTCTGTCTCTAGATAGCTCGTTAGTTCAGCTTGTTCATTAGATTCCACACAGGAGAGAAATCACATGGTATTTGTCTTTCTCCAACGGGCCTATTTCACTTAGCGTAATGCTCCCCAGGTCCCTCCACGCTGTCGCAAAGGGTGAAATTTTCTTATTTTTTTATAGCCGAGTAGTATTCCATTGCGTAAATGTCCCATAGTTGTTTTATCCACTCATCTACTGATGGGCACTTGGGCTGCTTCCGAATCTTCGAGATTGTAGATGACACTGCAGTGAACATAGGGGTGCTATGTTCTTTCAAATTAGTGTTTCAGTTTCTTCAGATGAATTCCTGGAAGGAGAACCGCTGGGTCATATGGCAGTTTCATTTTTAGTTTTGTTGCGGTATCTCCACACCGTTTTCCACAGGGGCCGCTCCAGCCTGCGTCCCTACCCACAGTGCACTGGGGCTGCCCTTTGCCCATGTCCTCGCCAACACTTGTTGTTTGCGGAGTTAGTGATGATGGCCGTTCTGACAGGGGTGAAGTGACGTCTCACTGTGGTTTTAATGTGCGTTTCTCTGATGATTAGTGATGCTGAGCATCTTTTCATATGTCTGTTGTCCGTCTCTATGTCCTCTTTGGGGAAGTGTTTATTCGGGTCCTTTGCCCATTTTTTAAATTGGATTGTTTGGGGTTTTCTGGTGTTAAGTTTTTTAAGCTCTTGATAAATTTTGGGTGTTACCCTTATCAGATGTATCGGCAAATATGTTCTCCCATTCTGTGGGTTGTCTTTTTATTCTGTTGATGGTTTTCCTTTGCTGGGCAAAAACTTTGTCCCATTTATTAATTTTCCTTGTGCTCCACTTGCCTGAGCTGATATATCAGATAAAATGTTGCTACTGGAATCACATTAAGCATCTCCTCTGACCACAGTGCTGTGGAACTAGAGATCAATCACATGAAGAAAACTGAAAAATACACAAAGACACAGACACTAAACAACACGTCCTTAAACAGCGAACAGGTCAACGAGGAGACCCAGGAAGACATCAAGACACCTCGAAACACACGAAAATGGGGACAGTGACCCCCAATCTGGGGGACACTGGGGAATCGATCCCAAGTGGGAAATCGATAGCATTACAGGCCTGTCTCAAGAAACAAGGAAAATCTCAAATAAACAATCTAACTTCACACTTAAAGGACCTTGACAAAGAACAGCAAACGAAGCCTGACACAAGTGAGTAGAAGGAAGGAAATAATAAAGATCAGAGCAGAAGTAAATGAAGTAGATTTCTTAATAAAAAAGGTACAAAAGACCAGATCTAAGGAGCTGGTTCTTTGAAAAGATAAACAAGATCGACAAAACTTTAACCAGACTCATTAAGAAAAAGAGAGAGAGACCCTGAATAAATAGAATCGGAAATGAAAGAGTAGAAATAACAACTAACACCAAAGAAACACAAAGGATTGTAAGCAAATACTTCAAACAACTGCACACGAGCAAAGCGGAAAACCTGGACAAAACGGCTAAATTCCTAGAAACATACAGCTTTTCCCAAACCAAATCAGGAAGAATCAGAGAATGTAAGCAGATTACACCCAGTAAAATGGAAACGGCAATCAAAAAACCCCCCAAAATCAAAAGCTCGGGACCGGATGGCTTCACGGGCGAACTTTACCAAACATTCCGAGAAGAACTAACACCTCTCCTTCCCAAATGATCTCAAAAAGCTCAAAAGGAGGGAAGACTCCCAAGCTCGTTTTATGAGACCAGCATTATCCTAATCCCAAAACCAGATAGAGACACTACCAAAAAAAGAAAATTATAGGCCAATATTCCTGATAAGTATGGATGCTAAAATCCTCAACAAAATATTAGCAAACCGAATGCAGCAGTACAGCCGAAGGTCATACGCCACAATCAAGTGAGATTTATTCCAGGAATGCAAGGCTGGCGCAACATTTACTAACCAGTAAATGTGATACAAGGCACGTTTTTAAATTCTCTAATGCGCTGCCTTTTCTCTGTGTCCCCTCCTTACTGTCTCATGGGGTACCTCCTCCCTTCCCAAAGCCCGAGGGGTAACCCTAGGCCTCGGCTCTCAGCGTGGTGTCGCTCTGTCCAGCACGTCAGCAACGTCCAAGTTACGTTGGGGCAAGTTCAGATGGAGCAGGGAAGGAGGGCCAGGAGGTCTGCTCCAACCCAGCTCGAGCTGCACCTCCTCCAGGAAGCCCTCCCTCACATCCCAGCCCCTTCTGCTGGTGTCTCCTCCTGACCCATGGTGGGGAGGGCCCCCTGGTTGCTTTTGGGGTCGACCTGTGAAGGCCTTCATGGCTCACTTGCAGCCAACCATGGCTATTTCCCCCCTAAATGTTTTCACTCAGCAAACTGGCCTTACCCCCTGCAACCCTGTGCCCCAGCCCCTTCCTCCAGGGTGGGGGGGGCGGGGAGGCAAGGTGGGGGCATGTGGTTGTGCCTTGGGGGGCAGGGGTGGGAGCAGAAGACACGCTGCCTCTGACCACAAGCCCGAGGACTGGTTCCCCTGGCCACGGCCCCCGGGGTCACCTGCCTGCTCACAGGAGGGGCAGACTGGACCCCTCTCGGGAATGCAGGGCTCGGCCGCTTTTCTCTCTAAGCTGGGCAAGCGTTCCCTCTCTTTCATTTGGGGTTTATTTTCTAAGCTGAAATCCTTTCTTTTTACCCACGTGAGGGCAGGCATCCCTAGCCCAGTGCCAGGCGGGTGGCCACATCCTTTCCCGTCTGGATATGGTGGCTGCGTGCATTCCAGACCCTCACCCCTGCGGCCCCCACACAAACTGCACGTTCAGTGGAGGGCTGTCTGGATAAAGGAATGGGCCACCCGACCCTGTAACCTGGTTGTCAGGTCCTGTGGCCCCCAGTCAGCTCAACCACCTGGCGGGCTGGAGCCAGTCTGAGTGAATCGGTCTCTGCCAGATCTATTTCCAAGCCTCGACCCAGCCCTTCTCCAGCACCGGGCTGCCCTCCACCCAAGGGCTCCAAGGCCAGGTGCTGACAGACGGGGGGGTGGGGAGCCAGGGGGCCTGGGAGAAGGTCCTGGGCGGCAGGCGGCAGGTCCTGAGGCTGCACAAGCCGAAGGTGAGCTCTGTCCAACCAGCCTCCTTGGTCCGGCGGCTCTGAGGCTGGGGACTCCGGCTGTAACCCTCCCTCTCTCTCCTTTCCTCCCAGACCCCGGGGCCTTGAGAGCTTCTGAACTGCCGGTCGCTTGGATTTCTCAAAGGTGCCAAATCCGCGGAACGGAATCCCCTCCTGAAGTTCCCACCCTGTCTCTCAGCTTCCCTTCCCCACTCTCCTTCCCGCTGTGCCCAGGTCCCCAACGCCAAGCCTTCCATTCCCAACCCTAGAAACTGCACGGGCCCCACACGGAGACCTGGCCGTTGACCTGGATTTGGGTGGGTATGGGCGACTGTCTGATTTCAGTTTCGTGACGTTCCTTGTCTCCGAGTTTTTGGTGACCAGAGCATCAGAAGGCTGAGGAGGGGGGGGCTTCCGGAAGGGGCTGGTCTAGTTTCCGTTGTTGTTGTTGAAGGGTTGAGTCTTACTCTGGGAGTGATGTCGGGGAGCTGAAGTGTCTTTCTGCCTCAGTTTCCCTCTACGTGGCACGAATGTTAACCCTCGTAACATCGCCTCTTTCTCTGGTGTTAAGGCAAAGGTTCGGATCCCAAGTAGGCAACACGCCCGAATCCGTGCATCCTGGATTTTGCAGCACAAGCTTCATTTCAAATCCTTCAGGCCCATTGTCAGATCGTGCGTCTGAATCTATGTTCTTATTTGGGATCAGAAAATACGTTCTTTGAGAATTTATGAGTTCTTCCTTCTGGAGCGGGCTGGCATTTTATTTGCTAATATGTGCGTGAAACACCGTTCTGGTTCTGGGTTCTGGACTGCGACGCGCCCTCTGAGCGTGGAAAGGTCGTTCTGCCCGGCAGGAGCACCGCCGCACCCCCGGGGCGGCCCTGGGGGAACCCCCCCGCCCCGGGCCCTGGACCGGGAAGGGGCTACTCACCTGCACACAGCACCCCCAGCACAGGCTGCGCCCTGCCCGCCATGCTCTTGCTTCCTCTGGGCGCCGAGCCCATATGGAGCTGGTGGCAGCCACACAGGTCCGGGCGGACTCAGCCCTACGCCAGCCTCCGACCTGACCCAGAAGTTGCCTGTGGTTTCCTCTTCCTGGTCCCCACAGACGGGCCCCAGCACCCCGCCCTCACACTGACTGGCAGGTGAGCTCACCCGGGGGACTGGATGTGAGCTGTACCTCCTCCACCCAAGGTCCCCAGTGGGAACCTGTCCACCTTCCCCTTGAAGCAGCCTCTCTCTGCCTTTTCTCCACTCGTCAGAGGTACAAAGTCCCAGGCGTCTCACCGAGGTGTGGCCCCTCCTACAACGAACAGGAAATTGCCGCTGGTAATAAAAAAGGAAAGGATGCCAGAGAAGGGTCTGAAACCGGGGCAAGAGCGGTGTTGACCGAAATCTGAACCACCTCCAGGCACAATTGTGATCTGTCCCTCTAATTCCTGCCCCGTCTACAAGGCCTCCACCATGAGGAGACAGAAAGACTGTCCCCTCCGAGCGCTGGCCATCTGGCCAGGGAGGCAGAGAGACCCAGTAGTCACAGAACGCAACCACCTGGTCTCCCTTGGCTTGGGACTCTCCTGGTTTTAAACCCGGAGTCCCAGAATGCCGAGACTTCTCTGTCCGGCAAACTGGGATGTCTGGTCATTGGCCACAAAGTAAGAGTCCTGGGGGGACCAGCACCTGGGAGGCGGCACAGGGCCCCCTCCTTAGAGCGAATGGGGAGATGGGCAGGTGGTTCTCTGCATTACAGACGGGGGCTGCCTCTCAGAGGAGTGAAGTGGGCTCTCCCGGAGCTCCCGCCGAGGGCGGTTTCGTGTTTCCCCTCGTGTCCCGTATCAGTGGTCCTCATGTCAATCTGCCAGTTCAATGGGGTGGCCCTCGGTCCCCTCTCCTCCCGAGTGGCCCCTCATCAGTTGCCTCTCTCGTCATGTTATCGCTCCATGCACCCCCCCCCGCCTCCCTTCCACCACCCCTTCCCTATGCTGGGCGGCCAGCCAGGGCCTGGCCCTGCTTAATGCCCCCTGCTGTCCTTCCCTGCCCCTCCCCGACCCATTCCCACTGTTGGCAAAAATAATATGAGCAGAGCCACTAAATGGCACCGAAGCTGCCGCCCCAGAGGAACCGCCTTGCACATCTGATGCCTCAAATATTTGGATGAAAACAGGGCAAAATGACCTTGGATGGGGCCCAGGACAACCACGTGTCACAAAGAACTGTCTGCAAAGATAGCGAGGAAGCAGTGGTTACGACTGCTGACCGAAAATTTGAGACGCGTGTAGAAGTAACATCACCGTGCCACACCCTCGGGACGTCATTGTCCCCTCCCCTCTCCCAGGAGTGCCCTCCGCCTTTACCTCCTCGTGGGACCCTGTCTGCGCACCCCCCTGAACCAGCACTTCCCGAATGGCTGTTCTTCCTGACCTCAAATACATGCTGTGAAAGGCCCTTTTATTTTTGAATTAACATCATCCATGCTCCGCTTAATGATTTGTCTTAGGAGGATTCCCCAGGAAATTCATTCATTAAAAGAAAAAAATTACTGAAGCCCACCATGGGCCAGGTGTGATGAGGTCCTTGGGGAGGGGGTGGCGGGGGGGTATCCTGGGGGACAAGGAGCACAGGGCTCCCCCTGTGCTCAGTCCCACAGCCAGCGGCCATTTCTTGTAGCGCTTATTCATCCGCATACACAGAATCCAGACCTTCCGAAGGCGATAGAGTAAAAGTAAGTCTTCTCCCAGTGCCGTCCCCCGCCACCTGGTTCCACTGTGCGGGGCAGCGCGGTTATTGGTTCCTCTGTTGTGCATTTATATTCTAATTTATATTCTAGTGTTTGTTCTCCGATACAGCCCACCTCCCAAAGCGTCTCTTCCCAAACACGTAGCTGCACTCCCACCCAGTGGGACACCTCCTCAGGCCCCGGAGGCGTGCGTCCCCGCCCGGCACTGTGTCCACGCCGTCCCCTCCCGGTCTCCTGTCCCCATGGTGTCTGCCGTTGGAATCCAGCTGGTCCTTTGAGAGCAGCTCAGCGTCTGGGAGCGCACTCAGACCTCCTCAGCGGGAAGAAGGGCCGACTCCCTCCCTCGGCCTCCAGCCGCACGCCGGGACGCTCTCGGGTGCTGACCGCACTCTGCCTAATGCTGGAGTTATTTTTGACCCGTGTCTCATTCCTCCCGATAAAACGATGAGCGCATTCATGTCTTCAGCCAATCGTTCGTGATAGTTTGTGTGTGTCAGAGAGCGCTCCGCCTAGCCAGGGAACGAGGCCATTTGAAGTATGCAGCTGTGTCGTTGCTGACTCGGGTCAAGTGCAGCATCTGACACGTAGTAGGTAGTCAGTAGTGTGGGTGGGCAAAGGGGTGAGTGGGTGGATGAAGGGGCGATCATGGAGTGTGTGGGACCAGGGGGTGAATTACTGGGCTTTGCTCTGATAGGAGATGGCGGGAAGTGATGTCATGGAGCAGGGTGGCTTGTGAGTTTATAGGAAGTCTGTGAAGCTCGAGGAATTTTGACATCGTCCAGGTTGTCAGCTGACCATCGCCGAGGGGTGATGGGATTTTGGAAGGGGAGTACCGACGCCAGGGTTCCTCCCCAGGGCCGTCCATGTCGACAGGAATGTAACCCGGCTCGTGAGCTCCGACTTCCCGGCAGTCATCCCGGCGTGTGCCCCACACCCGGGGGGGCCCCGCCCCGCTCTGCTCAGCAGGTGCCTGTTCCAGCCCCCCAAGCTGACGTGGGCCGAGGTGCAGGTGGTCTCATTCCTCTGAGCCTTGCCGAGGCTGCCCCAGGCGGGAGGGTACGGAGAGAGGGCCCCCAAAGGCTTTCTTCTAGGCCTCCCCACCCACAGAGCACAGACGCACCCCCCCCATGGGGCCACTGGCTGCCGGAGGGGAAAGCCGGCCCAGAGGGAAGGGGTTAAGCGGGCCCTGCATTCCTTCCTCCCAGAGCCTTGCAGGCCGTGGGGGCTGGAGGCTAAACTTAGAAGGCAGCTAAGGTTTCCTGGTAACAGCTGTCCTGCCCCTCAGGGAAGAGGCACTGAGGAGAGAGTCAGGCCCCCTCCCTGGTGGGGCCTCCGGCCACCTCATCCGGGTCCCTCAGTCCCCGGGAGGCTGCCCCTTGGTGTGGAGACTCAGGCAGTTCCGCAGTGAGTGTACTTCTCTCTCCATTTATCCAGCGGGCCGGGACCCAGGGCGGGAAGCCAAGGGCAGCAGCTCTGTCCTGGGGGTCGGCGCCCAGCTGGGGCTGGACCGGCTCTGGGAATTTCTCAGTCCTGAGCGGGGGTGGGGGGAGCAGTGACTCCAGGGGCAGCTGCCCCTCCCCCAGTGGGGACACAGCACGCGTTGGGGAGTTCATGTCACCCCAGAAAGGTCTTTCGGGGCTGGGGAACTCTCTGTATCAGCCTCTGGGTGCCCCTACTGCCACCTCCTTGCTTGCACCTGCCAGAGGTGACACCAGGTTGTCACTTCTTATCTCTTGTGACTCCAGGGTGGGTTCTCTGCTGGGCCAGCGCGTGTCCTGCTGTCCCGGTGACAGTGGCTGTGCCAAGTATGGCTTCGTTTCCCCCGTGGGTCCCCTCCCCAGGAGGGTATTAGCATGCAGTGGCCCTCCGTCCCCAGGTTTACCGAGGTGACATTGCTGGCAAGGTCCTTCCCCCCTCGATGCCTCCAGCACCGGTTCCCCAACGGCCTCTCTCGCTTACAGAGACTGACAGGCCATCATGGCGACCGGCAGGGACCCCGAGCAGGAGCAGGTCGTCCCCAGTGAGGAGGACGAAGCGGACGTGAGGGCGGTGCAGGCCCGGTACCTCCGCAGCCCCTCGCCCAGCCGGTGAGTGAGCCCTGGGGGTGTGGGCCAGGGAGCCCATGGCCGCCCACTGAGTTCACCAATTCCACAAGCAGGGAGCCCTTCCTATGTGTCATTCCTCCCGGAATGGAGACACCCCCCACAGACTGCCCCTCGGGGTGTGGAGTGAGAATCCGAGCCTGGGGTCAGTGTGTGGTGGGCTGGGGGTGGGGACCGCTGGACTTGGAAGGGGTATAGGGGACTTCCTGGGGGAGGGGACGCTGGGCCTGGGCCTGGGAGGGTGAGCAGGAGTCTGGCGGGTGAACCCGGAGGGCGGGCGGCGACCACAGGCTTTAAGAGGAAGGGGTGGGTCGGGCGGAGGCCCTGCGGCCAGGCCCCGGGACTGAGATGCCCTGACCAGACTGGGTCTTTCCAACCGGGACACGTGTCTGCCTGGGGGCGAGTGGCGGTGAGCCCCGGGCCCGTAAACCTGCAGCTTCCTGGGGAGTCCCCTTTATTTCCTGACAGCAAGGCCGGGGAGGCTTCCCCACCCGAGTGAGACGGGTGAGACCCTCGCACACACGTGTCCCAGTGGAGTTTGGGGGCTTGGGCTTTGAAACCCGGCCTCGGGTTCCTGCGTAGAGAAACCACCAGGGTGGAGAGGATTCAGGTGCCCACCTGCCTGCCGACCCGCCCAAGGCGGCCGGGTCGGTGGGCGGGCAGGTGTCGGTGGGCCTAGTTGTGGGTGACGCCGGCTGTCGCAGCAAAGGCTCATCTCTTCTTCCATGCTCGGAAACTTCCCGAACTGGGGCCTGAGTCCTGACTCAGGAACCGAGCTCCTGTTTATCTTGAAGGCCCTGCATTTCACGGCGTGCCTTCTAAAATTAGTGCTCATCTGCAGCAAGACAAGGGGGAGAGGGCGGGGACTCTCGGAGGTGTCCGGGCTGGACCCCAAGGGGGCCACTGGCTCTCCGCTTCCACTCTCCCCCGTCGCTGGAACAGCAGGACCGTGATTTCTCGTATGGAGAGTGGACAGTAGAGCTCAGGCAGGAGCGGGTGGGTTTGTCCGTACAGAGCCGGCCCCGCCACGGGCAGCAGCAGTTCCTGTGCCCTTTTCCCCACTCACGGGACACACTGGCAGCTTCCCGAGGGAGGGAGCCCCGAGTCCCCTTCACCAGCTGCTGTGTGGAGTTCAAGGTCTAGCTGTGTTAAGGGTTACAACACCCGAGGGCTTCGCTAAGGCTCCCGGTTTCCTTAGAAACATGATCCTCAGTAGGTTTCTGAGGTACGTAGACCAGGTAACACCCGGAGTCAGAGCCTCGGCCAGAGTTCTTTCCTGGACATGTTTCCACCCTGACTTATTTCTTCGCTCTGGTCTGTGCACTCTGCCTCTCGGCTTGGCGAGGCCGCCCAGAGAGGCTTTCTGAGCCAGTGTGAGCAGGAAGCCGGCGTGCCTGCTGTCGTTTCTAG